TCCTTCAGCAGCATCGTTGATCATAACCAAAAACAGTAGCGGGCCAAGCTTTGTGCCCTGGGGAACACCACATGTTAATCCCTGGTACGTAGAGGTTATCCTAGAGTCTATACTATTGGATAAGGATGTACCTACTATTAGCTTCGCTACTATTTGTATGGACTGCTTCAATTAACACACGCATGCGATGTGGTTGCGATGTAAATACCTCCCTATGAAAGCCTATAACTGATTAGTTGCGTCATTTCTACAATCAGACCGTTTGTTCTATTTCAACAGCTACTATCAAGCGATCGATTGGTAGACTGGGTTCATGGCCCCATTGTTTTAATAATGTTTGTACTGCCGTAGGGTCTAGCATTGCTAGCTGCTAGCGTCTACTTGTACTAGCGCGTCTAAACAGGGAACACTTGTTAATGGGAATGAGTTATATATAGCTCTTTGGATCTTGGTTGAGAGACGCTGCCGCCGCGGACTATAGTAAAATTGATGGGAGGATGGGAAATTTGGACGGTGAGGGACGGGTAAAATATAACTAGTCTGCAGGACTAACGGCTATGGGGCATTTACTAGTCCTTCTGATTTTTTACTAGTCTCGGACTAACGGACTAGCGTTAGTGTCGAACCCTGATTTTTAAATCTAGATGCTCTAAAATGCTATTTACTCTTTAGACTTATGATTTTTTGCCCTTTAGGCTGGGGGCCCGTAGCGTTTTGCTACGGCAGCCCTACGGCTGTGACGCCCCTGCATACATACGTTGCGTACGTGGTTATACACCATAGATAGTGTTTGGTACTATCACTCGCGTATATAAGCGAACCGAGTCGGTTTATAGTTGGTGTTAGAGTTAGGGTTGGGGTTAGGGTTATAGAGTAGGCGTGGTTAGGGAGTAGGCGCATCCCTAGACTAGCATTATATTACATTTATGTAATACAACATGAACAGCGCATGCGCAACAACTGCTCGAACGAATAGCGCATACGAACAGGTTTCCGATGCTCGGACGAATATCCACGTCCATAGAACATTTTCAGCTAGATTTCGTAACTGCAACCTGTTACCACCTGTCCCCACGAAAAATGGATCGCAAAACGCAAAATGATCGGCCTTTTTAACACTTATTTATCTAGATTGACATCTCACCTATCTTTTTGAACACTCCACAACTTTACACCATGTATTTATCCATTTATTTCTAAAAGTGCCAGCACTACTTGCAAATTGCGTTTGAAATGCTGTGTGTACACGCGTGACGTCACCCGAAATGTAGCTGCATCATAGCTGCCACAGTGTAGCTGCCATGTGTTTTGCCTACATATCCGCTATGATGCAGCTACATTTCGGGAGATGTCACGCGTGTACACACAGCATTTCAAACGCAATTTGCAAGTAGTGCTGGCACTTTTAGGAATAAATGGATAAATACATGGTGTAACGTTGTGGAAAGTGTTCAAAAAGATAGGTGAGATGTCCATGTAGATAAATAAGTGTTAAAACGCCCGATCATTTTGCGTTTTGCGATCCATTTTTTTGTGGGGGGACAGGTGGGAACAGGTTGCAGTTACGAAATCTGGCTGAAAATGTTCTATAGCCCTGCTGCAGTTAATGAACGCGGGCTATAGTACTAGAGCTAATCATGATCATGTTTATGTGATGTTAAAACGCCAGACTGGGTCAAGTCTAATGTCGTAATGTTAATTTCCAGGACACAATTTACTTTTGTAATGATACCATGCACATATCTACACTCATCACACACGGGTACACGCACACGTAGGTACTCGTACTGATGCTGATTATATGACAACAGTGATGATGATTTAGGTGCAGGGGTATTTTGCCTGTTGTTGGATGTGACCAATCATATGCACTGCTATGTAATTTTTCTGTTGCAGGTAATCATGCAGCTGTTTATACAAGGTCAGAAGACTCATGCATTTGAGGTTGCCACCTCAGAAACGGTGCAGGATATCAAAGTGAGTACATGCTACTTTATCTTTAACCAATATATGCATAAAAATGAAAGCTTTTTAAGCCCGAGTGTTCGCTATATTTGAGGAGGGCCACATACAAAACTAGATCGCTGTGCTGGTTTAGAGGATTTCCTTGCAGCATTACCTATGTGCTAGTGTTTTGCACTGTAGGTAGCCAGTATGCTGCTATAGCAATACATAACATGTCTAACGTGTGGCTCATTTTCAGGCGCGACTGGCTTTGCTAGAAGGCATTCCTGCTGACGATCAAGTCCTGACTCTGGCTGGTCAGCCTCTTGATGACGGATTTATCCTTTCAGCATGTGCAACAGAGAATTGCACTGTATCACTGACTGCCCGTCTGGTTGGTGGTGCGTATGCGAGTTAAATTTACAGGCGGACATAATACATACTGCATAGATGTTTGCAACTGTTTGTATTTCAGTCCTGTAAGCGTAAACTATCAATGTTTTATATATTGGGGTTGATTTCATGGGAAATTTTGTGTGAAATATTAATTGCCAAACTTTAATAATGACAAAACATTTAGTTAGCACTGAAATGGCCTAGCGCTGGCTATCTACATATTATCAAGAGGCCATTAACCCCAGAGCGTACAACGCTGAAATAGGAAAACCATGGTGTCGTTTCAGCAAAATTAATAAAGTTTACCTACCTTATTTTGATACTTCTCTATCGGAATATTATGCAGGAGTCATAGCTAGCCAATATAAGATCAACTGCTTGTCTCTACGATGTTCCTATGCCGAGATATATATCTATATATCTATGACTTTATATCTCGGCATAGGAACATCGTAGAGACAAGCGGTTGATCTTATATTGGCTAGCTATGACTCCTGCATAATATTCCGGTAGAGAAGTATCAAAATAAGGTAGGTAAACTTTGATAATTTTGCTGAAACGACACCATGGTTTTCCTATTTCAGCGTTGTACGCTCTGGGGTTAATGGGCTCTTGATATAATGTTCCGCTCTGGTTTGAGTGTTGTAAATGTGGTGCGGGCAGCTGCCACTGTCTGATTCTAATGGTTGTTCTATGTGCATCCATCGTTTCAGTACCTTTTGGTTTTACCTTGTAGGTAAGGTACACGGCTCCCTGGCGCGTGCCGGTAAAGTGAAGGGCCAGACACCAAAGGTACATTTTGTGCGATCATTGAAATTGAATTATGAGCTATAGTTGGAATCCTAAAACACCTAAATTTGTCTGAGGAAAATAAGTCTTTGCTGCGTATATAATGAAATGAATAGAAAGAGTGATTAGGTAACCACATCAGGGCTTGAAACTAACCTAAAATGTTCACTAGCCAGCAGGGCTAGTGACCTGTAAAATCTACTAGCCCTTAAAAATATCTACCAGCTATTAGTTTAGTGCGGCGCTGAAGCTACGTGGTGAGCACAGTTTCGCCATTTTTGCGGGGGGAGGGGGGAGGATCTGGGTTTTGATTTTAGACGCTCTGAGATGCATTCTGCGAAATTCATTGACTTTGTGAAAATCTAGATTCAGTATAGATTTGGTATACACATCAGTACTATGTTATAAGAGCAGAATAATTATATTCCTTATAGTAATTAACGATTAGAACTATTAGTCAGTTTACTGAAATGTGAAAGTTTATGTTTAAGTTGAACCGTTTGTGACTATCTCTACTACAAGTACAGAGGTTGTTAGTAGTTAGTACAAGTACAGTATAGAGTTATAAGTTGAGTTATCCTGTTTGTGATAGTTTAAGATTTGTAGAGTTGTATTGCAATTATATTAGTTGACTGAATATAAGCCACATAGAAGTAAGCGTGTTATATGCTAGGCCTAGTGTTAGGATGAACTTCGTATTATAAAAAGCTTAGAATACCAGTTACAGGAATGTAGGTTTAAAGGTATATATGCGTGTTATTTTCATAACAGTACCTGACAAAACCATGACTACTATTCCACGTCAATTATAGACACAGAGACTGGATTGTATATTAGCCAGGGTGATTCCAACTGAGTATAAGTAAATTTGAGTTTCTAATTTGCTTATTTAGCAAACATCAAATTGAAATCATCTTTTCGTTTGAAAAGGGGAGGGATTGTAGTGTTTAACCCTGAGATCAGCTGAACCGTAAACTAACCGGTCCATGAACATAAACAGAAAGTAGAACAGAAACGTATTGCGTACATACACTGAGGGAATTAATGTGGTTTAATCTGGTAGTAAAGTCTACAGTATCCAATATGGCAGCGTTCAGCATGGTGAATTTTATGTTTAGGTTTTGCAATTTTATTATGTTTGCACGCTCAAGTTTTATACTACTTATTACTAGTTTGGTCGGGTTAGTAGTTGCTGAAAAAGTACTAGTAATATGTAATCTGGTAGGCATTCCCACTCGCCAACAGGGCTGGTCAGCCCAGACATTCTGCTAGCCCTTACTGATTTCTACTAGCCTCGGGCGAGCGTTTAGTTTCAAGCCCTGCACAGCAGTGCTTGTGCTTTAGCAAGAATCCAAATACTTAAGCAACTCTTTGCTGATCAGTCACTGACACAGTGTGTTTGTAAAGAGTTTAGGAGCATCAATACATGTTAGTGGAAACGGGTAACTTGGTGGGAATAGGGGTGACAGCATGTGTCATTGTTAGAATATCTGGGGAAGTAGACACAAGAATGTCATACGTGGTGCATAGGCCCCCTTAAAAACCCCACTGATTAAGTCATGTATCGAGTGCCATTCCTTGCTCTCACGGTGCGACTTTGATTTTGGCGACACAGGTTGAGGCCGGCGAGAAGAAGAAGAAGAAGACGGGGAGAGCCAAGCGACGTCTGCAGTACAACAGACGCTTCGTCAATGTCGTGCAGACGTTCGGCAAGAGGAGAGGACCCAACTCCAACACGCCCGCCTCATAGGAATCCCAGCCGCGCGTTCTTGTGATTATGTCGATATCTGTAAAGTAAAATAAAGATTTCGCACATAGAGGTCGGTGTACTTTTCGTATTTTTTTCCTTCTCTTTGTTGTTAATACTGGACGGTTGCGAGTGACAGACGGTGGATGCATCATGCATGTCGTGTAGTCGGGTATAAAGTAGATGGTATGATTGTGATTTACTAGTTCCGTGAAAACTGTAAATATGAACTGTAGTGGTGATAGATATATCGACATATCCTAACTTGCAGGTTAAAGCTATGGCTAGTTGTTACACATTGCCTTTGAGGATACAATTAAGTGACACATGCAAATTGCCTAACACTGTATGTCACAACTGATGATATATTATACACATTTTATTTCACTCTTACTTTTGTAACGCTCATTACAAATATTGCAGTTTTCACGCTAAAATCTGTACTTGAAAACATGACAGGTCACTGCACTTTAGCTTACAAAATGGAATTGACTCCGTAAAAGGGTCCTAAATTCCGTTGTTTTATTCACTGGATCGTTCGGGCACGGTGAACTAGCTGGCATGTGTGTGACTCGAGCAGGTTTGTGAGTCTGTAGTTCATCCACATTGCTGCGACTTCTCGGCCACGTCACGTGTGATACGGTCATCCATGCTGCACCTTTACATCGTCTACCGAGACACAACCAGCCTTTCATCTCGTAAAACATGCATCGAGGAGAGATACAATTAACTCCTCTTACAGCTGTCTTACGAAAAAGTACACTGACAACACCCTCTTGTGGAAAACTACGCCGACGCGCACAGCCGATCAGCCCGTCTTCTTGTAATACGTCCGCGTCTTGCTCTTCACGGATTTGACGAGCGCCGAAAGTTGCGGGTCCTTTGCCGCCGTCGTTTCCACGGCAACCTTCGGCGCCTTGGCGATGGGCGTCCCACCGGGCTCGCTCTCCGCGGCGCGTCGGCGCTGCTTCTCTTTAATGAGCGACTCCATCGCGTTGGTCTTCTTGAAGCTTGGATCGGACGGGTCGATGTTGTAGTGGTGCGACTTGAAGACAGCCTCGAAGCGTGGGTCGGACACGTTTAGCTGCAAGAGAGCACGTCGGAAGCTGCAGTATTACCAACAATATCGGCGGGAGAAACAATTCAAACTACCTACCTAATCCTCTTCGTTTCTAGAGGCAAAAGGGCACCTAGGAGAATGATACACAGGTTTATGTTCGGACGTGTTGAGGTGGAGAATTGAGTGAATGCAAGCATTTACCACATACAGCCGTTTGTGTTGTTTATGAACCTGCAATCCAGAATTTCGCACACCTGACTATTAGGAGTGTAACGATGCATCGAACTATCGATTGCAATAGTGTTTGACTTAATATACATTGATGGCAAAGTAAAACATCGATAACCATAGCTAATCAGTAATGGTTCACAGAACAATTGATAGTTTTCGATAGTGGGAACGTTAAAACACCAGGTTAGTTTATTTACTGCTAAAGATATGTTTTCGCACATGAATATGCCTGAAACCCATGGCCGACACCGTCGTCATTGTAAATAAGTAGACTATCCCTGGTCATCATTTTAAACTTGGTAATTTGCCTTATATTCTAAGGTTAGGGTTGGATAACTAGTCCCGTTCGTGCAGTGGATTTACAAGTGGTAAAGTTTGTACCTTGAAATCGTCTTCTACTTTCTTTTCTTCTGACTTCTTCTTCCATTTTTTCTGTTTCTTCTTCTTGCCCTTCTCTTCTTTGATGATGGCCTTCAGGTTGAAATGATGCTTGCCGTCGTCCTTGTCATCCATCATCAGAAGTTCTAACTCGTCCTGCAATCAATGTTGATGTCAGTATCGTCTGTACACATAAGCACCGTGTGTGAATAATGCATTCTCCCTTGATACACAATATACGATAGGCACTCCCAACACTACGTATTCTTCCTTATACATGCGCTGGGTTGTTGGGTAGTAAATGTTTTCGGGCTGACTGTGTGATTTAATTTGATGTTCCATCCGAGAAAACCTCACCTGCTCATGTTTGTCCTCCACAGTTTCGCCAGTTTTCTTTTTCGTAAACTTCTTATCTTTTTTGGCCTTTCCTTGTTTGCCTGGGGCTGTATAAGTAAAGTGAATTATTACGTTAACATGGGTCCCAACTTCGCCGATGACTACAAGCAAACCTTGCTCTTATGAGAAAGGTTTCTTATCGTAGGCTGCACTTGAAATTTGCTATATGCCGTTATAATTTTTTAAATGTATTGAGTCGATCATTATTAGTAATAATGTTACTATGTAATTCACCCATTTAATGCTGAAAAAAGGCACGGAAATATTACGATTTATACATCTGCCATTACCTTTCTGAAGCTCCTCTTGGAAGTAGGGGTTATTTAAGTCTATGCCAGCTGGAATGTCGTCGTCACTTGATGCTTCATCACTGTCTGCCTGTAAATGTATATTATAGTTAATAATCCAAGCACTGTGAGATAGGAGTAATCCTGGAAATAATGTAACCATTACGATCCGTACGAATATGACATACATATGATGGTTTATACACTCCTGATATGATGGTTTATACATCTTAATCCGAATGGCAAATACCATTACACACATTTTGTCATGTTGCATACATACATACATGCATGTTCTGAATAAATTAATTCCACAATAATTCCATATTAATGAATGATGAAGGTAGAGATTTCTCATGAAATTACACTTTGTTTACATCTGTTGGATTTTAACCCTGGGAATTTCGGGATGTTTTTTGCGAACGCGAACGTTACCCCGCCAACCTGCTGTTTGCTCGATTCCTTGTTTTTGAGACGCTCCATCTTTTTCGACTTCTTCTTTTCTAAGAATTGCTCCCATGGTGTCAGATTGAGCTTCTCCTTCTCCTTCTTTTGTAAAATCTGCTGTGTTGATTCTTGCAGCCCTGCATTGTTTCGAGAGATAAAAGTTCAATGTCAGTGATGTACAAAACAAGGCAAACTCATCGTTCATTACTTATACTATACTTCTAGGAAATTACATTTTGAGGTTATTCTAGGGGCGCGTTTGTTTGGGACGAATCCGTCGGATCAAGATCATGTGATCCTGATCCGACCAAACAAACGCAAACTCACTTTCACCGGTTCACGTTTCGCTGTGACCTATCACAGGATGGTTCATAACAAAGAAAAAGCTGTGATTGGCTGAGGCGTGGGCTGCCATATTGGAGTTCGAATCCACCTCGCTAGCAGGGTCGGGTTCGGTGGATCGAGATCAAGTGATCCGACCAAACAAACAGTCAGATCAACGAATCCATCGGATCGAGATCCGTGGATCCGACCAAACAAACGCGCCCTAGGAATGATTCTATGTATGCTACAATTACGTGTAATGACTGAGCACAAATGCAAGAGATCATGCAAGATTAAAAAACGTGTGTAATATGTTGAATTAGTTTAAAAAAATGTCTAGACAATTGCTTATTGGCACAAATGACAATTAGCTTAGCATGAACTATATTCTCGATTCAACACATAACAATAACAGTAACAATACACGTTCACATCGCCATCGGCACAGCGAGAGGAAAGCTAAAGAGAGGGAAATAACTCCTACCTGGTTCCCAAGTAATTTGCATCTCCATTTCCTTTTCATCTTTATCATCATCAATTCCTTTCAAGAGAGCTCTGTATTTATTGATTGCCGCATCCTCGTCATCTTCATCGTCGTCTCCATCCGATTTCTGATCGACTGAATCTTCGTCGTCAGGTTGCTCGATGCCTTCATACGCACCTTCTGAAATACGATCATCAGATTCTCGCCTTTGATTAATGCTCACCTGAAGGGTTCTGTTTTAGACGAACAACTGGAATACGTGGCAGTAACGTGATGCCTGCACTTTTACGCTTCACTGTTTGAATCGGGGAATTATATCATTTTAACTGTGTGTCATAGGATTATGCCTCACCGACATATGACCAGCACGATGAAATATGAGACCAAATACAGAATCGGCAAGACCTTCCATTTTAAGATATCGTAAATAATAATATTCATTACCGTCATCTTCACTAGAAGATGCCAGGTAAGCTTTCATGTCCATATTCAATACATCTTCCTTTTTGTAATCTTTGCTCGTTATGGCTAGCCGATCCTTGTTTGTTTCATCCCAGGATAGATGAACCTGAATGATATGACAGGATAAATAATACAAGTTACTAAGTTATAATTTAGTTATAACTTAATATATTCTTTGTATACAGTAAGCAACTCTAGGTTGAGAGTTAAACATTTGTCAAACGTGACAATCTTGTGTTTGTTTAGCCAAATATACGTTAGGTTTATAGATGATAACTATATTACACAATAAATATACGAAATTCGTTTACAGCATGACACGCATCATACCTTTGACTGATTGAGAGCGGTGGTAACAAATAATGGTGGTTTATAGGAACTAATATCAGGCGCTGCATTGCACACTGTCAGGGGTGTTTGCTCAAATACCATGTCCTCCGGGATGAACCTTAATAAAAATGAAAAGTACATGCACAATATGTATACAACATCCATGAGTTCATCTACAAGGTCAAGCACAATCGAATCTACTCAATGAGGTACAATTTGAATCCATTTCAACTGCATACTGAAACACAAAACCTTATTACACATTTCTCTTTTTTACGAGTGAAATTTAAAATGACCCCACAGTTAACAACCATTCACAGCCTCACTATACTTTGCAACAGGCGTCCTCCACGACGACAACATAATAAAATTACTTAAAAACTTTGGTTAATTACCTCAGGTCAAGTCTGGTTGAGCTACTCTCGTATTCCATGCCATCACTCTCCTCATAGACCTTGTTCGCAGTCTGTGCCGAATCGAACTCGGCAACGGCGTAATAGTACTTCAGTCGATTCAGCTGGTACGTGCGCAGTTTTTCCCTGACGCGTTCTGCAGTGTGTAGCAGCAATTGGTATGAAATTAAAATAAATAGCATATATGCATTACGAAAGTACTGATCTTTCTGTGTGTCTCTCTTTCTTTCTCTCTCTCTCTGTCTCTCTCTCTCTCTCTCTCTCTCTCTCTCTCTCTCTCTCTCTCTCTCTCTCTCTCTCTCTCTCTCTCTCTCTATCTCTCTCTCTCTCTATCTCTCTCTCTCTCTATCTCTCTCTCCCCCTCTACAGACAGTCAACCTACTCTGTTTCATGTCTAACTAATATATTTTCGTACCGGAATCCTCGCTCTTGTCTCCAGCCTCAGCTTCCTCATTTTCAGAATCTGAGCTATGCGTTACCAGCTCGGCCGGGCCTTTTAGTTCCTCTTCCTGTAGCCTCTTCATTCCGTAATCTGATGGATAAATCTGTAAAGGACATATGCAGGGGGTTAGGGCATCTGTCACCGATTATTCAACATCCCACCGCTGTATATCGTGCAGGACACCATGAAATCATTCCATTTTCCAGCGTTTATTACGTCACGCATCACATCACGGCATGTCGTGATGTTCCATGTCATGTCGTGGTGTTCACGATACATCACGGCCATGTTGTCGTGAGAAGGAATCGTATGCGCGTACTGTGACAGAATGCAGGATGCCTCCAGCAGGAGCAAAGCTGCTCAGCATGACGTAGATGTCTGCTGCCTTGATGTTATCCCAGTCCATATTACACACGGCGAGTCTAGCAGTGATCTCCATAGCCTCTGGTGCATCAGCGCCTAGCTCACCCCATCCGGCATCATCTGCGGTAAACACAAGTCAATATTAACATGAGCAGATATATCCAAGCTACATAGTAATTACTGATATTACATTTTAATAACGTTTGTTAGGAGATACAGAGGTTGTAGTTTTTGTATCAGTTTGCTGACCAAAAATTCGATTTTATGCAGGACTTTATATAGCGAGCATGATATAATAAGCAAGTATTTATATTCAGAGTTATCAGTAACATATATAAATAGTTATAACTGATAAACAGATGCGAATAGTTTCATGTATGCAATGGAAACCAAATGGGATGGAAGGAAGGGTTGTCTGAGCAACTTTAAATGTGCATTTGACCGATTGTTTGAACTTGAGTTTTTTCGATTAACAATACAAGTATTAGGGATTGCTCTATGGGAATATTACTTACCTTCACTACTGACAACGCTATCATCATCATCGTCGTCTTCAGTTGTGTCACTGGATTCACTAGAATCGCTAACTCCCACACCTCTAGCTGGATCAAACAGTTCCTTTTCATCATTGATACCATCATTGTCATCATCGTCATCGTCGTCATCATCCTCACTGTCATCAGCATCATCTTCATCATCATCCTCATCACTGATGCCTTCTGGTTCATTCTTTTTCTTTTTCTTTACTAGAGATGGTGACTTTGACTTCAATACAGTCTGCTTATAACTTTCATCATCATTGTCATCATCTTCCTCATCGGAGGAAGAGTCTTCCTGACTAGACGAAGTCTCTAATTGATCTTTTTCGGGCACAGTCTGGTTAAGGGGTTTTACATGGCCACTAGAGAGTTTATCACCATCAGCTCTCAGCTCCCGTTTCTCAGGTTTCGCCAACTTTGCTTCTGCTTTCACTTTTTGTGATGCCTTCTTTTTTGCTTTTACCTTCTTTTTGGCTGTTTCAGTGTCACTCTCATCAGATGATGATAGCTCGTAATATCGCTTCAGATCCTCATTAGTAGTAAAGTTCGTTAATGGTGTACCACGCTTGTCCACGGTGTATTTGAGCTTAAATTTCTTGTTCTAAAAGCACAACAGTAATAAATTATTAGAACATTATACGTATAGTTCTAATGATCACGAATTGTGTAAAGCTGAGGCACTATCAGTTGAGAATTATACAAACAGACAGTCGGGATTCGTACATACCTCAAACATAGCTTTGAAACGCTTGTCAATCTTTACTTTTCGTTCTTTTTGTGGAATCCTCATGAAACGAGGGTCCCGCCCGATGTGGGAAAACCGAGCATCTTTCGTTATATCGTCCATCGTGAATTCTCTCAAGAACGATGACTGGATGTGAGTGTGATACTGATAGTGTGATATGAGTGCTGCAAATAAAGTAATGAAATATTTCTCTTTACGCACGCACGCACGGACACACACACACACACACACACAGGGGCGTGTACAGGGGGGGGGGGTCCGGACCCCCCC